GCACACCCCCCTTCAGAGTCAAGAACCAATCAAATGTTGTGAACACAAGCGACCTGAAAGCGCGATTCACAACGCTGCGATCGCTATCGCGTCCCATGTGTCGGGTTTCACCCTGGCTGCGATGACAGCCGTTAATCGCTGTAGTTTGTCGCTCCCCGTGTGTCGAGCCGTTTAAGGTGTGGCTCACCTCCTGTTTACAAGCGTGCGCGCTCCCGACTCTGGGCCCTGCTGTGGGGGAGGAGCTTAGGAAGGGGAGCTGAGAGCAGGGGGAGGGTCTAGAAGGTGGTATCTGTTCAAAATTTTTCTAAGTTTTTGGGTTTTCAAGAAACTACATAAAGCAGCTTTGAGGAAGGTTTACAGGAGACAGAAGTTTTGACAGAAATGTTCTAGTTGTCTTCCACTTTGATAACTTTGATCTGAAAATGAACGAACATCCAGAAGTTAACCTGTCTTTTTGTTCTGTTTCCTCGTTTTTACTACAAATAAACTGAAATGTTTTTTTTTTTTTTCACGCGGGTTATTATGGGCTGGGAGTGACAGCAGAGCCAGGAGGCCGAGCTGTCTTCTGATTGGTCGGGAGGACTTTTCAGGCCCCCCTTGTTTCCAGCTCTGCTCCTGCAGAGATCTTTACCTCCAAGAGTCCAGGAGGAGCGGGTCCTGCTGCACGGCTTCTCTGAGTTCCTCCTCCGGTTCGGTTCGGTTCGGTTCGGTTCGGTTCAACATGAGGTCTGAGTGGGTGTGCAGGGTGGTCCGGCTGGCTGTGACCGCGGCGCTGCTGTCAGCCTGCGGGGCAGCAGAGTACGTGGACCCGTGGGATTTCGACCACTACACCGGGGGGCGCAGCAGCTACGGGAGGCAGCCTCAGTGCGTGGACATCCCGCTGGACCTGCGGCTCTGCTACGGAGTGGGCTACAGCAGGATGCTGCTGCCGAACCTGCTGGAGCACGAGACGATGGACGAGGTGAAGCAGCAGGCCAGCAGCTGGGTCCCGCTGGTGCACAAGAACTGCCACCCGGACACGCAGATCTTCCTGTGCGCGCTCTTCGCCCCGGTGTGTTTGGACCGGCCCATCTACCCGTGCCGCTGGCTCTGCGAGGCGGTCCGGGACGGCTGCATCCCCATCATGCAGGTGTTCGGCTACCCCTGGCCCGAGATGCTCACCTGCGACAAGTTTCCCCAGGGGGAAGTCTGCATCTCCATGTCAGCGGCCAACGGCACGGAGGGCACGCCCACAGGTGAGCCGGTGTGCGCGCGCGTGCGTGTGGTAGTGCAGTTTATATAAACGCATCATTTCCAACATATTATCTCGTTGGCTCCTGTGGTCCAAAGCCAGAAGCTCCTTCTCTGTTCAGTTCTTAAAGAGGTCCAGTCTGTAGATCTGGTCCAGGATCAGTCCTGAGTCCGGCAGTGGTTCTGGATATAAAGCATAACATCTGCTCAGAGGCAGGTCAGGATGGAAAACATTTAAAGACTGATTCTTGAGTTTTACTGAAGACATTTTCCTCATGAATGATATAAAAAAAAACAGAAAAAAAGAAGAAAATCCCACCTTCCCACAGTGAAAACAAGTTTCTGGCTTCATCTTGACAGAAAAATCAAATTCTTCAAACATTTTASATTTGTATTTGTTAAATGTATTGTATAAGTCTGTCCAACACTGAACATTTAATTAAGACAACTAAAAATGTTCTCCGACACATCTTCTGTTTGTTAGAATAAATGTCTGAATGATTTAATGACAGTAGATCTGAACTTTGTTATTGTTTTACAGCATTTTAAACACAACATGGTGCCTTTTCTCCTGATATAAGAAAAGCATCATGTCAGAAAAGGAGCAGACTGTTAGTAAAACTTTATTTTAAAATCATTTAGTGAAAAGTTCAGAGCTGAACCAACAGGAAGCAGCTCATCAAACATCCAAAAAACAACCTCTTTCAATGTAAATATTATTCAGGTTTGTGGATTTAAAGTTACTAAAACTACTCATTTAGTCGTCATTTTGCATTTTTACGCTGGTTTCATGAAAATCCTGTTTTCTCTGTTGTTTCTGAACTTGGTCAGTAAAAGATTTCAACTAAAAATGAGTTTGTCGAGCTGCTTGTTGAACCGACGTCTCAGTTGTAAAGTGTATTGAATCATTTAAATAATCAGATTTTATTTCAGAGCTAGTCTGTTTCATTAGAATCTGCTGGGATGAGAATGTAAAACAAGTCAACCTGAGTTAAACCTGAGCTGGCTGCCAGCTGATAAAGAAAGCAGGCCTTTTGTTTCCGTGTTAAAATCAACCCAGTTGTGATTAAATGGGTTGTTGTTTCAGGCCTGGTGGGTGGGTGGGGG